TCTGTTAATGACAGAGCCTTCTGCTTTCAAAGCAGAAGCATCTCTTCAGTAAATCTCTTCCTTTTTAAAGTTATTTGTGTATTTTGTACATTATCCTCATCCAGGTCTTTGGTATCAGGGCTGGTTAGGAACTGTCAGCACAGAGCCATGTCCAGGCACCCCAGGACAGACGTGTCCCATGTCTACTGTGGGCTGCCTCAATGCCAGCACCTCGCTCCTGCCTGAGCAAACCTTCCTCTCCTCCCTGCCAAGGAGAATTCCCTGGAAAGTGCAGCACTAAGCACTTTTTTTTTTTTTGGGCTAGTCCAAAGGCAAGACTCTCTCCTGCAGCCCAGGGCATCACAGTGATGCTGCACCATGTCAGGAGTCCATGCAGTCCCACGGGGGCTGGAGAGCTTTGGCCTCCCCAGAAACATCCCAGCATGGAGTGGGAGTGTGCAGAGCTTTCTGTGCTGGGGAGGAGGAGACGGATCAGTGCTGGGCCTCATCCCAAAGCCCATCCCAGCCAATTCGTGTGCTCCTGTGGATTAGAGCAGACGGGAATGTTGTCACTGTCCTCCTGGCAAAATGAGACGGAACATCTTGTGCTGTTTTGCAGCTCTGCTGATGGGTCACTGAAGTGAAATTAAAGTAAAAATAAAACCAGAGCTGTAACAGCATGCTGCAAACATCCGAGTCCCCCCTGCTCGCCGGTGCTTGCATGCTGGTGGATGAGCGCTGGGGGAGCTGGGGACCTCAGGCCAAGCGTGAAGGTGTCAGAGGTGCTCTGGGAGTAGCGTGGTCCTCGCTTTGCTCCTTGGCTGACGTCCTCCTTGCCAGCTTTTCGTGCGCTGCGTAAATCTTTCCTTGGCTGCTCCGCTCAGTGCTGCGGCTATTGTGTTGTACCGCACCATCACCTTCTGCCTGCCCGTGGTGCCTTGCCATCGCTCTGTGCTCATCCAGCTTTGCTCCACTCCCCTTTCCACGGTCCTTCCCTTTGCACCGGCTCCTCCTTGCTGTGGTGTTCCCTCTGGGCTTTTCCTTTCCAAATTTTGCGCTGGCTGCCTTTGCTGTAAAGATGCTTTTTGGGCTCAGAGCAATGCTCTTGCTAGACCTGCATGCTGTCCCCGCTCCTGCGTGGTCCTCCCCTGCTATGCTGCCAAACACGTGGCCCTGAATGTGCCCTCTGAGGCTGCGGAGGAGGGAGCTGATCCTGCGCAAAGCAGCGGCCAGGAGGACGAAGACGGCAGGGCTTGGCCCCAGAGATGGTGTGAGCTCCCAGGGTGGGGAAAATGGGTTCCTCTTGGCTTTGGAGCTGGTGGCCGGTCCATGGTGCTATGAAGACTCCCTGGTTTAGATCAGGTCTGCATATTAGATGTAGTATGTAAGGAGACTTGTGTATATCATGCTTTTTGCCCTTGCCACCGCGATCAGCAGGCTGCTATAACACATCCCGTAGCTGTCTGGCATTAACAACAGGAGTCTCTGTTGTGACCCTCCAGCATGGTTATTGCTTTTCAGTTTGAGGTTTTGAAGCTTTTTTTTTTTTTTTTTTTTTTCTCAGAAAACAAGCAGAGAGGAAAACATGCCTTTGCAATGAGCACTGCTGACTGAGAGGTTTGTAGCTGATCCTTAAGTTAGCGTAGGATTAGTCTGATCCCTGGGTAATGCCTTATCAGGATAAAGCATCTTGAATTGTAATGCCAAGGAAGCCCAAGAGAGGCAAAATCCCTTTGTTTAGGTTAAATAGAAGCGTTTTCTTGACAGTGGCTGAGATTGGTCATATTTTTCTTTCTTTGTTCCGCAACTCTGCAAAGAGATGCTGAATTAACGCCCCAGCCTGGTGCCTTCACTATGTGAGCTCTGCAGCTAACAGGGTTGTGTGGACTCTCCGGCTCTTCCAGCTCCATCGCTGGTTGCAAGAGGGGCTGACAACTGCTTCAGCCACTGAAATCCTTGGAAAACCCCTCTCTGACATGAAAAGGTGTCCTGTGGGACATGCACGCCTGCCTTCCACCCTCTTTGACATCCCAGGCTGTGGGGCTTTTGCCTTGCCCTCCACAGAGCGGTGGCCCACCGTAAATCCCTCAGTCGTTCAGGGTTGCCTGGGACTGTGCTCCTCTTTGCCTTTGCTCGTGACGGTGCCAAGAACCAGAAATCGCACAGGGCTTTTTATTTTTCAAGCTGATGTCTGAGCCTTCGGTGGGTAAGGAGATCTGCTCTCCCGTACCCATCTTCAGTGACCTAATGTCCTAGTCATCCATTTGCAGAGCCTTCAGTGCAGTGTATCTGTAAGTGGTTGACATAGAAACATTAACCTTTCTCTTTTTGTGTCTTTTCTCACCTGAAGAAGCCGCTTGGGCTATTTATAATTTGAGTGTGTGCAGAATACCCGAGAGAGGGGCTGCAGCCGGAGGGCTGAGCTGGCTTTGAGTGTGGGCAAAGTGGCAGCAAGCTCTTTCTTTTCGTTTTCCACGTAAATCTTTGCGTATCTGTTTGCTTACCCGTAAAACAGAGTCATTTTGAGGTTTGACATCTTCTTTGAAAGAGGCTGAACCTGTGTTATTGAAGCGGTGAAGTTATTGTGTGATCTTGGCAGGCTTTTCTAAATGAAATATTTGAAACAAATCTTGACAATGGGCTGAGTGTGTCACACAATATCTGCTATATATAATTAGAGGCTTCCCAAGCCTCAGCAGTGACCGTGGGATGTGCTGGGGTCCCTGCTGTTTCTGGACCACGCGTGACACCAGACTTGCTTGGCTGTGAGTTCCTGTCAGATGCTCTGGGGTCGGCAGCCCGTTGGCCGATTCGTGGTCATACTCATCCCGCCCCAGCTCTGATGTCCTCTCGTGGGAAGCGGGGACCTGGACGAGCCCATGGCCAGCAGCTGCCGCGTCACCTCCTCCTCTCCGTGCTGGTGAGCATCTCCACCGTGCTGTAGCTTCCACCATCGGCTGCTTCTCCCTCTCCAAAGAAGCAGTTCACTACGCACCATCTGTTGATTTTAATTTCCCATAATTTGTTTCCATGTATATGTGATTTGTACTTTCATTAATTGTGCTGCTGAGCTTCTTATTCGTGAGACTTGCTTTGCAGCAGGGAAATCGTTGTGGTTTCTCCCCTCTGTCAAAGCTATTTTTGTTTTTCACACAAATGAGCGCTTTTGTCCTTTGAATTTTGCTCTCTGGGCGAGTCTCGCTTAAAAAGAAATCTTTCGGAAGAGCAGTGCCAGACCCATTTGTGTGGAGCTTCATTACATCCTCATAGCCGTCCTGAGCACAGCCATTAAACGTCTTTAAAAAGATCTGCCTCCCAAACTTTGCTTAACTGCCTGCAGAGCAGAGACCTTCAAAACCATCACCATCGGCAGGTGCAGCCCCTTTGGGCAGTCGCAGCCCTCGGTGGCTCTGCTCCTGTCCCCGGGCGCTCGCCCATCTCCCGGGCGGGTGATGTTGGGCAGTGTGAGCACTTTGCACCAGCGTGTGATCGCTCCCGGGTCTGGCGCGTGCCCCAGTTCCCCCGGCTGTTTCACTAGATGGTGTTACCATCCAGACGTGATATTTTAGGGACAATTTGGAGTCTCCTTACCCCGTAACCCTGTACGTGGGGTTGATTGCTGCTGTCGTTTCCCCTGTCTCCATCCTGAGCCTTGGCACAAGGCTTGGATCGGGGCTCTGAGGAGTTGTCGAGTGTTTCAGCTCTCCGTGTTCAGCCTGGACTCGATGCAAATGCCGTGATTATCTGAGTTAGTGCTGATTTTTACGGTGTGTTTCCAAGGCAACTGGAAATTCAGAAGACCACAAACACACACACAGCCCTCTTCTTCTGAGACCTCATCCTCCAGTACACAGGTAAACACTCTCAGTGACATTTTCAACCTGTTTGAATGCTCATCTGAATAGTCCCCACTGTCCCCTCACGTGGCTACCAGCAGCTGGAGCAGGTAATTGCCTCCTTTGAAGGCTGTAAAAACCCAGCCAGCTACACAAACAGGTTTCCTTTTGTTCTTTGAATGTTTTTCCACCCCCTGCAACCTTGCTTGGAGGGGAGCGATACCAGAGAGGCCTCAAAAACAAAAATGGGGATTTTGAACAAAGGAAAAACAAAAGTAGCAGTGGTTTGACGCTTTCTGAAAATCAGATATTTTCTGGGAGGGACAGGGACCTGTGCCAGTGGTGAGAGGGTAAGAAAAGTTTGAGAAAGGGCAGGAGGAGAGCGGAGAAGGATGGAGCCGTTATTCCCGAGGAGCTGCACGGAGGAGGCAGCAGCGGATCACAGGTCTGTCCCACCCGCTGCCCTCCTGGGAAGTGCTCCTCGTCTGGTTTTCTTTGGGGTTTGTGGGAATAACTGTAATCTAAAATCATGGGATTATCTGTAATATAAAATAATCCGCAAGGTAGGAGTTTTCTCGGGGAGTTTGGGTTTCCTTCTGCTTTGGAGACTGTCTGTACAAGCGTCGTGCTGGTATTTGGGCACGGGGGGAGCAGAAACGGGGAAGGTGGCATTGCTGGGAGCCTGGTCCTGGCTTAGCACAGCTCCTGGGGACTTCACGGGGGAAATTGGTGTTTGGTTCTTCTGCAGCCCCCGTGGCACCAAGTCATCTGCACCTTGCAGGGACAACCCTCTGCAGAGAGGTTTGCTGAGCCTGAACCTTTGTGAACAGATTTTGGTGTTTTGCACTGCTATGCTCCTTACTAAAATAATATTTCAGCTGGTGGGGATTGTGATCTTTTCCCCTCCAGTGCACTCATAAATACAAAAATCTCTCCTCTCTGTGTTGGCTTCATGAGAAACTGCTGGTTTGGGTTCGTAGTGGGGAAGTACCCTGGGCAGTGTGGCAGGCTCTTGTATTGATCTTAGGTTAAATGAACTTAGATTAAAATGAGAAGGGTAATGACCTGGCCTGGAGTCCTGCTTTCCTGCTCATGCCAGTCTTTCTCTGTTGGAGCGCAGGAGGTGGGACAGTCTCAGGGCTGCTGTAGGGTTTGACCTTACTGTTTTTTTCTTTCCTGTTTCAGAGGGTCTGGCTGTGGGAGTTGGATTCGGGGCTATTGGAAAATCGGCGTCTGCGACCTTCCAAAGCGCCAGGTAAGCCACAACACCGCTTCTGCTCTGCGTGCATCAGGTTTTGTGTGTGCCTTTGCTTCTTGGAGTTTGTCTGTCTGTCCCACGTTGCTACTGAGCCAGGGTGGTTGGAGATGCATTGACTGAAACTTGTCTGGATGCACAAGCGTGGGCAGAAGGAGCAGAAGAAATTCCTAGTGCTCTTGCATTTTCCTAGTGGTTGTGCTTGTCAGGGCGTGACAGAGAAATGCCAAGATTTTCCACAAAAGCAGCATCCCCAACGGGTAGGAGCAGCTGCCAGAGCTGTTGGAAAGCGTGCAGTGGCTTTGTTTTCCATTCCTGCCAAGCAGGGCCACTACTCTCTGTAATTGGTGGCAATAAAGACCCTCAATCCTCCCGGCATCCCTGCTCCAGCCTTGTCAGCGGCCGCTTTCGCCCAGCTCAGTTTTTGGTAGCACTAGCATTGCCCCTGTGCCCCCATGCAAAACCTTTTGTGCTTCTCTAAGGGACTGGTGTGAACATGGGGGGGTTAATTCAGCTCCTTTAAACTGCCTGGAGGGGTTGGGGGGGAGCTTGGGCTTCAGGTACATTTTCATACCAAGCAGGAGCAAAACCTGAAGGGTACAGGGTGGGTGATAGCAGGGAGAGCCCTGCTGCTTCCCCACACCCAGCTGCCCCTGGCAGAGCTGAAACTGGGCTGACTGGGTGCATTGCTAAAGAAATGGGAAAAAGGCAGAAGTCTGGTGCGAAGCAGGAGCCGGAGGAGCTGCCTCGGCCATGGAAGAGCTGCTGGCACCTCTTGGCGGCTGGCTCGCAAACGGCACCCTCCTGCCCAGGCTCCTCGACATGCCGTTACCGATTGCTTTTCTTTTTCTGTTTTAATTTTACACCCGAGACTCATAGCACACCACGTTCCCTTCACCCTTTGTTTACCAGACCCATGCTGTAATTTATGTCGTTTGGGGACACGCAGTGTGTTCGGTCTGTGAATAACCTGCCCAGCCCTTATGGCTCATGGATGAAAATGCCATTATGTCTCAGCCGCCTTGTTCCTGCCAGAGGATCTACGGGGCCTCAGGGATGTTTTTGGAGCCCTCCAGGTTGTCCAGCCCCTTCTCTGGCCAAGCACAAGCTGCATTTGTGAGGACTGTGCAAAGACCTGAGCAAAACCTTCTGTACCCAATGCCCTGTTACATCCCCAGCTGATGGGGGACCCATCCTGATAGCACGGGCTGGCACCGGGTACGCTGCCCCAGGGACTTTGATTGCAGCAGATACTATCCAGATTTGTGGTGAGAAAAGCAGGATACACCAGCTCTAGATGGCGCGTTTTTCTAACCTTTTGAAATAAAAGGCTCTTCACAGAGTCTGTGGAGGCTCTAGAGATGCTTGAACAAAAGGACTTTTTTTCATCAGCTGCTCAGTAAAAGCTAAGAAGCCAGAAGCAACTGGTTCTTTCTCTGTATTTACAACAGCATTAATCACGTTAGATGGAAGGTGGAGACTGTACCATGAAAATACCAATGCAAATTTAGTCAGCTGCGAAAGGAGGCAAAATAACTTCGTTGCCATCAATCTGTCTGTCACTGTCATCTGCGGGCAGCCCAAAAATCGCTTGGTGTAGCCTTCCGCTGTGAAGCCATTTGGAAATATCCAAGAGTAAAATTTTAGGTGGCTAATTTGTGTTATGTAGGCTTAAGAAACAGCAGTGGAATTATACTTCATGTGAGCTAACACGAGAAATAGAGCTAACTCTTTTGACACATCCGAAGGGGAAATTGCTCCTTGGCCAACCTCAGCTCTTAGAGGACATGACAGTCGTGATCCCCTTCGTGTCCATTATTTTGAAATAGCGTTTTAATGAAACAGCTGCGTGACTCGGTTTACCTCCTCCATTCTGCTTCTGCTTCCCCCTGGGTGTGACTAACCGCATTAGCACCAAGCTGAGCCGGAGCTGGGGTGAGCTGCTTCTCGGGAAGGCTTATTCCTTCAAACCGTGAATTGTGCAAAAGTATTTATGAACGCTCCGACACGCTCAGAGCCCGAGCAAAAGATGCAGGATGCTTGCAATGGCTGCTGTATGTTTCCAGGGTTGGCTGTGACTTGCCCATGCTAACCAAAGGACCTTCCTTGCTGACTTGTGCTTGATGAATAAATGCTGGCTTGCCTGGGGAAGCGCACTGCCTGATTGCATTGCTCCCAGAGGGGTGAAATCTCGGCAGGAGCCCGAATTCATTCCAGCTCACTGTAGGGCCCTGGTGAGACACAGCCGGGCTCTATCCTGAAGGGCTGTTTCCAGAGCCACGGGCTTTGCAAATAAGCAGCGCGTTTGCAGAGAGACGATTAGGAAGAAGGGGAGAGCACCAGCCGCTCTGCAAACCGCAGCGGTGCTGCAGCAGCGACGTCTGGGCGTTGCGAGCAGCCGGGTGCTGCTCTGGCTTGGTTTGCTTTCAGGCTGGTCTGAAGCAAGCTCTCTGGGTGCAAACTGCCATGCACCGGCGCACCTCAAGGGTGGGTGTTGCAACAGGGTCCCTGCCTGCCTCAGCCGGCCGTCACGGTCCCACGTGCTTCGCTTTTTTTCCACGTAGCGCAGCCATGCTCCCCGGCTTTGTTAGGATGAGGGTTAGTACCCTGTTCCCGATACTTTGCGGGGATCCCGCAAGGCTTTTCCTAGGCTAAGGACTTTCCCCTGCACTGGCGGCTGGAAGGTTTCTCGGTGCTGCCCGCGGCAGGAGGGATGCTGCGGGGCTCCCACCCTGGCCGTGCGGTTGGGGCTGTGCCGGTGCAGAGCTCAGCCCTGGCCGAGCATGGCAAGGGACCCATTTTGGGGTTTTAAAGGATAGTGGGGCTGGGTGTGCTGCAGAGAAGCACAACCTGCGGTTGCTGGTGAGCACCAGCACGGGCAGTGTAAGCAGCGTAGTGCAGGCAGAGACCTGCAGCTGATGGTCTGGGTCAGGGGGAGACTTTGGGGTTTGGTTAAAAACCATAAAAGGATGATTAGGAAGCAGGGTGGGATTCTTGCCTTTTAAAACACCCAGCGCTTTGCATGTGCTGGCATCACCTCTGCCGTTCTGTGACTCTCTGCGCTCTTGTAGGGTCCTGCCCCTTACCTCTACGCTTGCAGGATCCGACCCTCCGGGCTTCTCCATCCACCCCATCTCCCTGGAGCATCTTGGTGCTGCTTGCCAGGCCCCTGCCCGCACTCGTCCGCGTTTCTTTGCTGCCACCGGGTGTGCAGGCTCCGTTCCTGCGATCTCGCTCCTCCACGGCTCCTCTCTGCCGGTGCCAGGGCTCGCCCTTGGATTACAGCCCCTCGCCTTGTGAATTGTTTCATTTATGGCTTGCGGCGTGGGGGGAACCCACTTTATTTGGCTTGTCAGGGGATGTGAGCGAAACGTGGTCCCGTGCCTGAGGAAGGTGGGGTCTTGCCGGTGGGGTTGGATCTTTGCTTTTGGTGCTCCTTCAGCTGGGCAGCATGCTTGAGCCTTTTTTTGGAAAGGTGATGTAGGTTTTACGGCAGTTTAGACAGGGCTTAGGACAACCTAATGTCTGCTCTCAGGGTGTTTCCCATGGGGGGCTGAGTCGGTGCTCGTCCTTGGGCAGGAGCATCCCTCCCTGCTGCGGGACTGCGGTTCGCCTGCCCAATTCCTGGCAAGGATAAAATCATCGGAAAGTCCCATGGGCTGGAAATAGTGGCTCAAGGACAAAGCTGCTGCGATGACAGAAGAGGAGTGAGACCCAGAGCGAGTGTGTGTCCGGGGTGGAGGAGCGATACCCAGGAAGAGGAGCGGTGCCCGGTGTGGGGTGTGCAGCGAGCCCCCGGGAGGGGAAGGTCCCCTCCAGATGTGAGCAGGGAGGCAAGAGCTGCTCCTGGCTGCCTTCCAGGCAGGAAGGTAAAGAGAAGGGCAGCCATGTCTTAAAAAAGCTGTTTTACCTCCCCCTCTTTGCACACTACAGCACGGGGGGGGAGGAAACCCTCTCCACCTTGTGTGGCTGATTTAACAGGAACCAGATGGGGCTGGAGCTGCTGAGATCAAGACGGGCTGAATTTACACTTCCCTCGGCTGCTCTGGGGATGCGGAGTGGGCAGGAGTGCAGGCAGGGGTGCAGGCAGGGCTGTCTAACACTGGTGCACTTTGTCGGTGGTTTTCCTGGGGCTGGGTGTAGGAAGAGAGGGGCTGGGAGAGGTCCCCGCTGCTGGCCACGCTCCGCACGTTTCCATCCACCGGGGCTGTGGTGCAGGGGAGTTGCGTGTGTCGGGGTGGTCTCCTCTCTCCAAGTCCCTGCTGGGTCTTTTAGAGGACAAAAGCACCCACCAGTGAACCCTGGGGCAACCCTGAGCCCCTCATTCTGTGGGGGGGTTACACCAGCCACGCTGGGCAGATGCAAGGTGGGGTTTGGGGTAGGCAGGGAGGAGATCCTAAGTGCCCACTCCGCCGTCCTCTCTGGACCCAAATCCCTTCCTTCGAGACCCACCTCGACACTGCTGCGTTGGCACCCAGGAGCCCGCGGCATCTCCGATCCCTCATCCCCTGCCCACGTGGTGGGAGCTCGTGCCTTGGCTGGAAACACAAGAGCGGAGGGGGAGGTAGGGTCCCTGGGGACCTCTCTTTTTCTCTCCCCTCCCTGCCCCATCGGAGCTTCTTCCTTTGAGAATCAACACGAGGGGCTGGGTATCCCCCTCCCCATCCCACCCAGCATCGTGCCATTGCCTTGGTGTGATGACTGGATTTGGGGGGAGCCCGGTGGTGCAGGGGAGCGGAGAGGGATGTCCCCGGGGGGGGTTAGTGGGGATGTAGGAGGCTAGTTCTACTTGCCCCTTACAAATCCTCCCTGTGCTGTTTGCTTTCTGAAAGCAGGAGGCAGCTTGTAATTGTGTTGTATGCAAGCACACAAAAAGCCAAATCTGTTTTCTTATGGAGCGTGGCTTCTTCCTGCAATTTTTTTCTGTCAAAGAGGAATTCACCATGAAATTAATTTCCTTGGTCAGGATTGCAGGAACTTCTGAACATACCTGTGTTATA